AAAGAGAGCTCTGTCCACAGGCGTCGCCAAAATCTACAAGTAAATAATTGAATGAAAGTACATTTTTAAAAATCTTACAGAGAAGATCCCTGCTGCTGTTTTGCTGCATTAACTTTAGTGCAGGACTTTGAGACTTTAAGAACATTTTAATATGTAGTAAACTGAGCTTCTTATGATAGTCCTTAGTTCTGACAAATATTTCTCAAAAAGGTTAGAAGTACCGTATTACTGAATTACAAGACTGAACCTAGAAATCACTTATGATTCCAGTGATGTGTTAAAAATAAAGTGTTGACTGCTTCATGTCATAAAAACACGAGAGTCAAATACCAAGACTGATGTGTCAAATATCTGTGTGTGTGTGTGTGTGTGTGTGTGTGTGTGTGTGTGTGTGTGTGTGTTTGACAGCAGGGAAGTGTTCAGGACACATCAGCTAGTGTTCCATCTATTGTCTTATTGTTATTTTAATACTTTGTTCTAAAGGTTAAAGAAATGTTTCTGCAGTGGTCATTTCCTGCAGTGAAATGATAATGGGGCCAAAGGACGGAGACATGCGGAGGAGGCAGACTTCTTGGGGACAGAGCAGGGGATTTTTGGGCCCAAAACACAACAAAACAAAAACTCCCACAATAGATCTGCTGGCTATCTGTGTGCAAGACGCGTTTTAACCTTCAACACATAACGTGACTCAGAGCAAACTAACACAGCCCTGATAACAAAGTACTGACATCTGACAGACACAGCAGGCCTGTTACATATCAGCCTGTCGCACTTTCTTCCTCAGACATCGAAAAAAAGTAAGAACAGACAAACACACTTCTGGATTTTATCGACAGTACTTGCAATTTTCAGTTGCAAGTTCAGTTTTTTTTACAGTTACACACCCTTTCAAATAGCGCGATCAGCTGCAGATTATCACAGGAGAATGCTATTTGGGCGAGACCAAAAACTCAAACCCCTGTCTGAATCCAGCTAAACTTAAAAGTTAAAAGTTCTTGTTTTATTTCAATAAATAAATCACATTTCAAAAAAAGCATCTCTTCATAAATATTTCCATTCCCCCGGTGTCTGTGTGCAACTTTTATAGCAAACAAAGCAGGCCTTGTCCCGGCCTTGGTTTAACATCTCACTTCTACAAAACTCAAACTCTAAAGTCACTCACATTCCAGCAGAGAGAGACAGGGACGAGAAAAAAAAGGGAGGTCAGACTTGGACAAGAGCCAGGATGGTTTTCCTCCTTCTGTGTGTTTCCCCTTTAAGTCGGCAGTCACACACACACACACACACACACACACACACACACACACAAACACAAACATCAAACCAGACTAAAAGAACAACATGTGCAAACACAACATGGACATGTAAACTCACAGGCTGACTTACTTTAATAAAACATTAACACACGTGGACACTTTCAGATTCCTCGCTCAGCACAAACTCTGGCACAAGAAGTACACACACACATAGAGACACACATGTTTGCAACACACCTGCTCCTCCACGGACACATCCTGCAGGGCCGGGCCATCCCGTGGGCCTCGGATCCAGGTCAGTATCTGGCCCATGTTGGCTGAAAAAGTGCCTCTTTAAAGTGTGTGTGTAAGTCTGTCAGCCTCTGCCTGCTCTGTAGGCTTGCAGCATGTTTTCAGACACACGGGTAAGGGAACAGGAGAGAGAAAATGGGAGGGAGGGAGAGAGGGAGGAAGGGAGCAACGGGGGGTGTGGTCAGGGAGCAGAGGGGGCTCAGAAGTAGAAGTCACAAGAGGCTCGGCCGTAAACTCTCTGGGCTATAAAGGGAAGTGAGCTCGACCGGGTAATGACACCCACCTTATGAGGGGCCACATGAGAGCTGCTTCTCAGAGGTAACAGATACTGCTTAAACACACACGTGCACATACACACATACAAACAGACACACACAAGGGCATACATGCGTTAAAATCACAAGCATGGGTTGATCCTTAAAACTTTTGCAGCGTTTCTTTATCTGACACCATATTCCAGCTTCTTATCAACACACACACACACACACGCCCAGATCTCCAGAGATACACACACATCTGGAGCACACACAAAGCATAGAGACGCACACATATCTATGTACACACTTGTTATTTACGCGCAGCAATAAAAGAAAAACTTGTGCAACCAGCCTGGCTGTCTAATTGCCTGTGAGAATAAAGGGAGGCGCCAACTTTTGTGCCAAGAGAAACACGACTGAGCTGAAAAGTCTTCTCTCGATTTTTTAATGACATAATCTCTGTGGGGAAATAGCGATGAGGACATCGATTCAACTCTGCTTCTTTCAAAATCTGGTCACTAAGTCGGAATGATCAAATCTATTAACTGGTTGACCTAATGATGGACAATTCTCTTTTGCAAATGGAGGAAGATTTGTTTCCAATTATGCACATCAAAACATCTCTGAGGTAGCAAAAAGTATAACTATGGTGAGACAAAAGTGTAGGGAGTGTTTCTGCAGAGTTCATGACTAATGGTTCTTACGGCTCAAGGCATGGGTGTTGTCTTTCTGAACCTTCACCTGCAGTTCTTTTCATTGAACAGACAAGCTTTTACTTTGAGCTTTATTTAAACAGCATATTCAGCAAACTACCAAAGTGGACAAACAGCATTACAAGCTACCTCCTATCACGGAAACACAAACACAGAACTGTGTGGAACAAGTATACTCAGGTGTATCTGAAGCCGACCTCTTTGCTCTCATTGTGCGCATGCCATTTAAAAAAAAAAAGAGGTAAGGTGAATTCCTGTCATAGCTTGAAGGCTCTACCTCAGATAAGATTGTTCGGACGTTCCCTTTGGGAGGTTCTTGGGTGGGGCGTGCAGACAATACAGTCTTTCAGAGATGTCAGTTTGTGCTCTGATGGCCGAGCCTTTCTCCTGTGCTTCAGCAGCACACCTCAGCTGGAGACGACAATGATGTAGTCTACTTTTATTGGCCAGCTAGACGTGAATGTCCTGTTCCTGCAGCCCATTGTGTTAATGATTGTTAAAAAATAAATGTGCGGGTGGAGCTTTAAGAGAGCAACATAGATGGGAGAAAAGCTGGAAATTAAAATTCCCTGCTACTGCACCTTGTAGCCAATAATTGAGCACTATTGCTGCATGATATGAGAAATATGCAATGTCCAATACTCCCACAACACTATACAGTGCATTAAAAAAAACACACATATGAGCAATAACTGGGTTTTCTTTTTCACTAACTTTGCACCAATCCTACTGATTTTAGCTACTGATAGCTAGCTTGAGCTCTCATATATTACTACTTGAAAATGGTATAAAAGTACGGCCATTCTACTCGGGCCTTGGCCCAACAGGTAAAATGTACACATGTCAGCACATCAGTCAACACACTCTGTGGAGCTATTTGGTTCACTGACAAAATATCCAAAATGGCAATCAGGGATCTCCTGTGGCAACAGAATTTGACTGAATAAATGAATCTAAATAAATAAATGCATTCAAAAGGTCTCCAAATCGTTTCCAGATAGAAGCAGGAGAGTTTAGTCTCAGGATGCAGGGTACTCAATCTGATCAGCCACTGTGCAGCCACAGTACTGGAATGAAGTCTTACAGGTTTAGATTTCAACTTTTTTCTTGTGATTTTTTACAGTAAGGTAAATAAAGTACATGGCCCTACATCATTTTACGTACGCTTATGCAAATGCTCCTACATGCACATGTCTGTGCACACGCTAACACAGGCACATGTAACCGCAGCATTGGCACACTCCCTGCATGTCAGACAGACACACCTTTGCCTATGTGAAGGGCCAAACGACCTAGCCTATAAAACTATGTGGTGCACCATGGGAAACAGAAGTTCTTAACCTCCCAAACACAAGTAGAATGTTGTACCACTTGTTTGGCATGTACAGATGCTGCTAATTATTTTATTTTTTTCCCATCGTTGGCTTAAGACTACCGGAGGAAAAATCATTACACATACTGTGTATAAAAGCTGCAGTGCAAATGAATAAGGAAACGTCAGATGTTGTCACAAACATGTTTGCCAGTACCACCACAAGTGTACAGATGTAACAGGACTCCATCGCTAAATTGGCACTCTTATTTATATATAGACCCATGTGCATACTACAGTCAGTGCTATCTGAACTCTGCCATCACTTCTCCCACTGGGTCACCTACATTTGACTCCTTTGCCAAAAAGACAGGAAAACTACGACGTTTAAAAAACTTTTGGCCATCTTTTAAATTATTTTGAACACATTTAAGTACATTCACAGTATTGATCATGCATGAGTGGTTCTAGAGGGAAAGGTGTGGGAATAATCTTAGAAAATTACATATACCCTTTCTGTGATGATGACCAATTCTAAAGTATTCAGTGTCCTTGCGAGGAAACGATTTCTTCATAATCATTACAGTAGATTACTGTGAGTCTAACAGTCAGAAAGAAGAAACTTTCTCAATGCCAAAACAGAATACTGAAAGTGACTCCAGGGCAGGAGAGACAATACAAAAAAGACATGGATTTGGCGACGGGTGGGGGGAAAAAGGCAGGATTGTAGCGTGTCAAAGGTCAACTACTTCAGCAGAGTGAAAACACAGACAGCAGGTTCACAGACAGACAGCTCTTATCTGGTGTGTCAGCGTTTACGAGTTCACGGCGTCTCAAGCATCACTTGCACTCAGCAGAGGGAGACAAACACACACTGAGAGAGCTTCCTTCACATACTTAAAAAGCCAGCCTGTCCTTTAACACAAGAACAATATGCACTCATCTGCAGCTACGCATGTATGTACGCTGTACCAGTTATTCATGACCAAGCCCACATTTTTTTTCATCCTTAAACTTCTCTGATTCTTAAAGGTTCAGTCATAATCTCTGTTTTGATGAAACCCGAGCCATCAGATAAGTTTCTGTTGCACCTTTAGACACAAACCTCCCCGTGTTGTAGGTCTGTGGTGTGCTTTTGTACATTCTGTAAGACAGCAGGTGGAGTCCATACCTTGCCATAGCAGGGCCTTGTAGTGTGAGAAGAGGCTGTAAACCTGCTACTTTGTTGGACATCATCATGTGTGGAAGCAGCTGCTCCTTCTTTCTACACACACACACACGACAGATACAAACACACACACACAAACCAGTTGTTATTTCAATACAAAGGCTTTGAGACATGAATGAGTCTTTGGCAATCATTTCAAAATAACGTCTGGACAGGATGCAGTGACTTCTATGGCGTATTGTGTCAGCAGTTTATTTTATTAACCGGGATGAAAAATCTTTCATGTGCAAGTCTTTCGGCTTGTTGCTTATTCTTGTCTTATGAGATTTTTTTCATTTTAAGTCAACTAGCACTTTGATGAATGAAGGTATCAGTGTAAGCAATACAAATTAAACGAGATTAAAATTACACGTAAAATTGAGAAAACAAAAGTTAATTGAGAGGAGCCTGAAAGTTATTTTAACATCTGATTGTAGCCATAAGAACGGCCTCTCTTAAACAGGAACACACCCTCTTATGCAAACAAACTGTCTGAAATTTTAATTCAAAGCTATCTTGTGCAGCCGATGCCAACTTTAAGACATCATTCACTCAACACAGCTTTAACAGCTCCAGAAGAGGTGTGCTGCTTTTTTCTGCTGATCGAACAAAACAAAAAAAGAACACAAGCAGCTTCCCCGCATGTGCCAAGCTTTACCGAAGAGATATTAAAGTCCACTGCCAGAGGGAGAAAAAGGAAAAGAAAGGGGTTTAAAGGAAGCAGATGTACTCACGACATAATTGTAGAATGCTGCATACGCCATGAGGGATCAGGAGGCGAAACACTGAGTTCAACACTGCACTGCCACTCTCTCCTGTTCTCACAGCAGGATCTTTGCTCTCATGCCTCTTCCAAACACTGTGCCACACCCCACACACACAACTCAATAATTATCAAACACGGGAGATGTCTGTAGCCAAGACTTCATCTAACTCAGGCAGATTATTGTGAAACCAATTTATGTCCAGCTGGTCTCTAGTATACTTCCGTGTAAACTGAAAGAAAAATCAAGCACTAATCTGCACCTATGGGCTACTTAAAGTACCACCCACCACCACCACAAACACACTCCCATCATAAAACACACACACACACACACACACACACACACACACACACACACACACACACACACACACACACACACACACACACACACACACACACACACACACACACACACACACACACACACACACACACACACACACATCCTCAGAAGGAATTCGATTGTTCCAAGATAAAACACAGGACTCCACTCCACTCCACTCCTCTGCGGGGGGGGGGAGATGCCCTAAAAGTTGCATGTGACGCAGCTCATGTAGAAGCAGGCATGAAACACTATGAAAACAAGACCTGTCAGTGAACAGCTTTGCTTCCATAGGCAGCAGCTGACCGAGCATTTATCGATTGCCCAGTGATGCATTAACATTGATCAAGTAATCCTGAACACATGCACGTCACGTGAACACATCAACATGGAAGATTTAGAAAGTCCCTTGTGCGTCAACATGGATGATTGTGACATTTGTTTTCTTCTCCTGGGATCTTAAGGAAACAATCAACTTTTTGTTGCTTTGTTGAGCCTAAAGTTGCCGCTCCCCTTCGCCCTTATATGTCTGTCGTGCAATTAAAGAGAGAGAAAAAAAACTTACTTCTTTATTCTCCTCCTTTGTATGTTTTTGGTGCCCATGATGGCCTCTCTTCTTGTGGGGCATTTCTTTTTTTTTTGAAAACACGGATGGGATGGATGAACGGTAAGCTTCCTCCTGTGTCCTCAGTCACTGTGCTTGTAATCAGAAGTCTACTGCAGCCTGATCTGCCCCCTTTGGAGCAAAAGAAGTTGCCCCTCCCGTTGTCAAATGTTTTGGGTTGTGATTGATCTAAGATGCTGGCGTGCAACCACGTTTTTTTCTGCAGCAATACGTAGGTTACTTGTGTGTTTAAGATGGAGCTGCAGCAAGTAAGATCTTGTCCTTAATCAGACTGATGTGCTTTGAATATTATGTTCACGTACATTGGAGGCAGACATGTCCACATAGCTTACTGTCACATAGGCCTTCTTAAAAACAAATAGTGCATACGAGGATGAAATGTCATTGTGATCGTGGCCCATGCTAACTCATTTAGCTGCCTGAATCGGTGAATGTGTATGGTTCTTTAACTGCCTGGTTCTGGGCTTGAAATCATCATGCCACATACATACAGGAAGTGAGCTCAGACTGCATTTTTTTTGGGGGGGGTGCATGACGGGACACGCCCAACAGCTCAGGGAAGAGTTGACTCACCGCCGATGTTCTTCCTGTCACAGAGCTGGTGTGTGTTACTCAACTGTGCTAATACATCCATGGTGTGAATGCGCCCCAATGCTACCCTCTAGTGGCTGATAGAGGAACTGCAAAGACAAAAACAACCAGTGCAGACCTACACTCACTCTGGTTCATGTAAACAATGATAATCATTATCTTCTGACAAATGATCTGCATATTTAAAACGTTATCTCCATATTAAAAATGTACACATAAACATGGCTTTTGTCAAATCAATTAGTCTATTATCAAAATATGAGTAAGGGAGTATTACAGGGCTTCATCATCATTAAGGAAATTTTGCGGCACAAAATATTTTTCAGTTTTCAGCTTCTCGTGTGACTGATTTTTTTTTTTCCATATCTTCAGAGAAATTAACAATTTGACGTTTCTGACTGAATGTTTGACAAACAAAACAGGATTCATCTTTACCTTTTGATTACATTTCTAACTTTATTAAATCAATACATAAACCACAAATAAATAATCAACAAATAACCCCAACAGGAAAATAATTATCTGGAGCATATAACCAATCTTTTAAATATGATCGCCTGCTTAAGAATTAAATGTACAAATCATAATATTTAATACAATAGGAGGGTACATAGTTTATCCCCCTTGGGTGTTAATGAATTTTAAGAATTAAGTACTGCTGCTGATCTCTTTAATATGTGTTTTATGATGGAACATCAAGTATTACACATGTTCTGTTCAAATCAAACCTAACACAAACTAATTACGTAAATATTTTGGAGTTGTTTCAGATATTTTTCAGGATACATTTTTTTTTTGTCCCTCTCGTCCCTCTCGTCAGATTTTTGCTACATGTTTCTTTTTAGATCAAACACACAGACTTAATGAAGTTTTGAAAAAACAAAAACATTTTTGTATATGGTAAATGGACTTGAGCTTGTATAGCGCTTTTTCTAGTTTTCTGACTACTCAAAGTGTTTTTACACCGCATGTCAGACCTACAAATTCACACCCAGATCACACCCACTATGTAAAGTGACAATCAGAAGTAATCTCATTCATACGCTGCTGATGAAGCAGCGGGAGCAATTCAGGGTTAAGTGTCTTTCCCAAGGACATGTTGCTGCAGGAGCTGGGGATCAAACCCCCAACCTTCTTGTTGAGAAACAATCGACTCTACCAACTGAGCCTCAGCCTTTGTAAATTCATAATCATGAAAAGCACTTGGTCTAGCACTCCTGGTCCTGTCTTCATGTTTTATATTTGGGCCTATAACACACTGAAATCTAAAGTTAAACAAACCTGAACAAGTATTGGATTTTGAGTATGTTACTTTATCCTACAATAACCTCATACACATTTAGGCTATTCTTCACACACATTTTTAACACAGGGTTGTGTTTGTGTCTCTGGGTCTTAAAATGATTACAGACATAACATTTCTACATATATTTATTCATACTGTACATGTGTTATTCCACAGCAGTTTTCTTTAAATGAGAATACCAGTGTAAGTTCAGGCCCTTAAAAGTTGATGTGAAAGAACTGTGTCTTTAAATTAAAAAAAAATCAGTAAAGAGGAATGACAAATTAATGATGTTGATTATTAAAAACAGCTGTCAGAGAAAAACAATACTAATATGATTGACATTTGAAGGACTGTTCATTGAAAGAAACCAGAATAATAGACACAAACAATGGGGAACAAAATAAGCACTGATTTGCTCACTTCCTGTCTGCTGTGTTTCCTCTGAGCAGTCGCTCTTTTGTGCTTTCAGCCGAGACAGCTGTGATATCAGTGATACAGGGTGGATTAAGTGTTGACTTCATGTCTGAGCAGTGTCCATCGGTCTGATGACCTTCTGTCCATGTGAACTTCACACACACAGATAACATGACAATCTCCATCACATCCCAACATGGACACGAGCTCTATCAGCTGCAGAGTGACGCTCATCTGGCTGAATGACAGCAGAGTGACATTATTTACAGAAAACCTCTGATAACATATGACATTTATTAAACAAATGATGAACTTTGAAGACATGAATGACAGAGACACATCCTAAACCTTTGATCTTCTTGTTTCTGCCAGTATAATAGTATTATGTGTTTTGCACTGAATCGCTGCTATGACAGCTTAACATATGGATGGATCAGAGCCTTTTTCTACAGGTTTATATCCAATAAATATTTGAAAATTTTATAACAATTTTTAATTTTATATTGTGTATTTACATAACATACATCTATTTGTGTGGTTATATAAATGTATATTTATTTGAAA